AGGGGCAGAGGATTTCTGTGAGTTTGAGGCCAGCCTGGTCTACAGAGCTAGTTCCAAGACAGCCAAGGCTACACAAAGAAACCTTGTCTCAAAAAAAATCAAATCTCTAAAAATAGTTAAATAAACTACAAGGCTGTTTAAGGGACACCCGGGAACCTGTTACCCAGTTCAGCAAGTACTATTTCATGGCCAATCTGGATTCACTATTTACCCAACTTTCCTCCACTTGCAAGATTTTTTTTCTCCTGAGACAGGGTTTCTCTGTGTAACAGCCCTGGCTGTCCTGGAACTCTCTCTGTAGACTAGACTGACCTTGAACTCACAGAGATCCACCTGCCTCTGCCTCCCAAGTGTGCACCACCACCACCCGGCCTGAAGATTAAGTCCCAAATTTCCTTCCCATGTAATCTGCAAATATTGTAGTGTATTTCTCTCACATGGCCAGTGTATCATATTCCTAAAACGTGGCCATGATGTCATCATCACACCAAAAGCAAACAAACCATGATTCTTTAAAAATAACCACTCTACCGTTGGGTTCAAAGTCCCTGTTTGAGCCGTAATCGCTGTTCGTACTGGTTTGAAGCGCCATCCACACACCTTCTTTTCTATGAAGGTCAGTGTGAACAGGGCTCCCTCCCGGCAGCTGACAGGAATGTGTGGGCCTCCTCTGTCCTCCTCTCCAGCCCTAGTTGACTGAGAGTGCTAGGAAGGTGCTGTGTGTAAACATGTCTCCTGTGCCTGGCCCAGGGCTTACAACCTGGGTGAAGAACAGGATGGTTTGCCCAGCCGAATGGGCTTCTCTGTCCCTCCCCAGCCTATTCTACGGCACCAGTGAGTCCAGTGCTGTGATCTGTTAGATGTGTGGCTCCCCGAAGGACAGAGCCTATCTCTGTGCGTCTCTGGCATCAAGTCCAGTGGCTCTCTCAAGTGTTCGCTGTGGGATTGTTGGGTAAAGGTAAAAACACCTGTCAGTGAGACTCTGGCTGACAGACTTTCTCTCCTTTTTTCTTCTGAGGCAATGATTTCTGAAGTCCCTTCAGGAACCAGGGAGTCCCCCATTCACCATACACTTGCTGCCCTCTGCTGGCAAGCTCAGCTCAGGACCTTGGTGTCCCTGGGATGCTGGGAACAAACAGGGATGAGTCCACGGCTCTGTCTCACAGAGCCCGGAACTTTTTGCCTGGCCTGGGTTTACGTTACATGAAGGGTGTGTTTCCCTTTGCCTCGTTTGCCTACTCTTCCTGTGTGGTGGGCACCTGAGGTTCCAGGAAAGCTCTGGAAAACCCTACCACAGGCCATCAAATCTCCACATAGACCGAGAAGACTGGGCCCAGGTGATGTTTATAGGCGTTTGACTCAAAGCTGAGGGGCGGTGGGAAGCCTGGGCAGAGGAGGAACAAATGAAGACGTTGTCATCGGCTTTATAATGAAGGTGCCACTCAGCCTGCCTAGTGGGCTTCTCCTTCTTTGACAAGTCCTGACAGTTTATGATCCACGCAAGTTTAGTGGGGAGCCAGCGCCATTCACCCATCAGAGACACAGCTCCTAGATCACACACACACACACAGACACAGACACACAGACACACAGACACACACACACACACACACACACTATACTGTGTGTGGTGTAGTCACCATGCCCCTCCCTCCCTCCCTCCCTCCCTCCCTCCCTCCCTCCCTCCTTCCCCTTCTTTCTTCTTCCTTTCATATTGTCACATTTGTTAGGACTCCCGTGGTTCCAGATATCAGGACTCAAAATACCGCTGACTTTGTCCACAGGTGAGAACTTGCCTGGGACAGACAGCAGACAGGAACTGGCGCTCTACGAGACAGGATATGATCTCTGTCCTTTGCCCCCCTCCCCCCACTTCTCTCTTTATATCTACTTGGTTTCTTTCTTAGCACCAGCTGGTACTTTGTACTCACTGATCCATGAGGCAGAGGTGGCCACCAACAGGTCACGACTTATCCTCACTCAACCTCTGGCTCCTTCTTCTTTGCCCCAGTCCAGATTATTTCTATACTGGTCCCCTTGGACCAACTAACACATCCTGCAGAGCCCACTGCATAATTTGTGAGGCTGAAAGCAAGACGCAGACCTGGGACTCTGTACTCAGAAGGCAAGAGGAAGTGTCAACCAGGCCGGGGTAGCCTTCCTCCTTTCCTCCGTGTTCTCTTGTTGGATCTGTCAGGTGCTGTTTCGTTTCCACTCAATGTTATCGCTAGGAAAGAAAAAAATCTAAATTATCAATTATTTACTTGATTTTTCTACCCATCTGCATGCCATGCAAAGCCAGTTACTGAAGTCACACGCAGACCCACTGAGGTGGCACAATTCATGTTGTGTGAACTCAATGGCCAGAGGACACAAACACAAACACAAAGCAAACTCCTGACGATGGAAAGCAGAAGAGAAATTGTTCCCAGAACCCCCGAGCTCCTCAGACCTAGGCTGTGCTGAGGGAGTCCAGACCTTCACGGGTATCCTGAACCCTAGTCCCAAGCTGGCCGAGAGGTGGGGCAGGGATGAGAGCCAGGGAAGTTGGTCCAGGTGTCCCCCTTCCCATAGTCCCCCCAGCAACTGCTACTTCCAGGGGACTCTCTGTGGCCCACCACATAGTCCATGCTCTTCCAGCTTGAAGCTAAGATGGCCACCATGGTCACCCCAAGATGCTGCAGCATATGAGAGCCCTCTCCATGTCTGTCCAGGAGGCAAGACAGACAGCAACTGAGAACTCAGCCAGGGGAGGCAGCCAGGGGACAGGGAGTGGCCATCCGAGCCCCAGAACATTCACCCCACTTTTTTCCGACTCTACCCCAGAGCACAAGTCTCAAAGTGAAGCTGTTAGCAATCTCAAGACAGTGATCCCAGAGTGCAGCCACACTCACGGGGCCTAGGATGGAGGTGGAAGTGGGAAGCCGCGTAAGAGCCTCAGACAGAAACAGTTCCCTGAGCGGAGGTGGGGAAAGGCTGGGAAAACCAAGCCATAGCTGACATGTTATATTACAAAGTGCAAGCATCTCCCTTGCCTTCCAAACACGTGAACATTCACAGACAGGGGATTCGGCCACATACATTCACTGCAGCCTGACTCGCGAGGACCCATCATTAGCAGCTGTGGCTGAACCATCACAGATCAGCTAACGTGTTGATCATGGACTTCAGGACTCCGAGCGTCCCGACTCGGCCTCCTCTCCCATCACTAGCTTTTCTGCATTCATAGCCACTTCCCAGGTGACATCGCTGTGGCCCCAGGATGCTCATCGGGGCACCCGTGGTGGCCCACCCACCAGTGTGGCCTTGTGGTCACTCCTGGCTGTCAGCCTCTTTCCTGCAGCGAGAGTGGAGTCACCTGGGGCTGATCTCTGGAGAATGACAGCTGCAGTGACAGGCTGCCTCTTGCTCTGCAGAGGAGGGGGCACAGGAGAAAGTCCTCCCCCAGACTAAGGGTTCTGCTGGGATGGCTGTCGTTAACCCACTGTTACCTGCTGTACGGCTTTTCTTGTTGCTATGACAAGATCCCTGACAGAAACAACGAGTAACAGAGGAAAGGATTACTGTGACTCACTGTTCCGGAGAGTTCGGTCCCGTCAGAGCGGTGAAGACACAGCAGGGTGGTGGGAGCTGTGTCGGCTTGCTCCTGGTAAGGACCAGGAAACAGACCAGGACCCGGGTTTTAACCCTCCAGGCCTGCCTCTAGTTACCTACTTAAGCAGCTAGGCCCTGCCTCTTGAAGGCTCTTGACCTCTCTAAAGAACATCACCATCTGGAGAAAAAAGCATTCAAAACCTGAGCCTGGGGGAGCATTTCAGTGACGGACAGGAACACCACAGGGCGTGCAGCGGCAGGCTGGGAGTGCCTGGGTTAGTCCTGCCCCACCCATGGGGTACCCACAACCTGCTGACTGCACACACCAATCTGTCCCACCCCTGGAGAGTCACCAGGAGATGTCAGGAACCCTGGCAACTGCACTCCCAAAATGACTCGGTCTTTTCCGACTTCTAGTCTGCTGTGGGAGAATATTACCACTGCACATGTTTTTTCTTCCTATGACTTCTACTCCCTCTCTTGGGTTTTGCCGTTTCATACCCTGTGACAGCTTTTCCTCTGAGCTGTCTCGTCTTGCTGGTATGTAATAGCTTTGGGGGGCTTTGTTAACTGTTCATCCTCGCTAACTGTTGCAGGCGTTTATTCTTCTCTGCTTCCCCGCGTCTTTTAGCTTTATTGCCGTTCCAATTACTATGCAGGTGACAGGCACTCCGAGCCTCGGCTTCCTCCTTTGGAAGGAAAGAGCTGCCACCTCGGCTTGCTGGGAGGATTAAACTGGCGCAGGGGCTTGCCATGCTTAGCCATGCCATCGTCTCCCGATAAACGGGACTGTCACTGTCGTCTCAGTCTGCCTGTGTTGCTTCTCCTGTTGCTGCGATAAAAATACTGACAAAACGTAAGAGGAAAATGGTTTGTTTTAGCTTACAGTTCCAGGTCACAGCCCATCATGGTGAAGAAGTCAGGGCATCGGGAGCTTAAAGCAGCCGGGGCACAGGTTCACAGTCAGAAGAGAGCGATGAAGGCATGCACGGCAGTGCTGAGCTCACTGTCCCCAGAATCTCCTGCCTAGGGAATGGGGCCACCCACGGTGGGTGGGTCTCCTCCCCTCAGTTAACCCTGTCAAGATTATACACTGCACACCCCTCTCCCAGGTGACTCTCCCTTCTGTCAGGTGGACAACACCAACCATCACACCAGATCTCTCCACGTTATACCCAAAGATCCCCAAGTCCCAGACTGCACTTCCTGGTCTTTGATAATGAAATGAAGCAAGCTGAGAATGCCGGGGGGGGGGGGGGTACTGAAAGGCCATCTGGATGGGATCTACTTTTCATCTGGTGGGACTTCCACAGAAATGTTTGCTGAAGTTGGAGCAAGGGCCCATGAAAAAGACCAAGAGCTGTGAGAGTCCTTCTAACCCCACCTCCCTTTGTTCCCTGCCTCAGCCAGCCCCTGGGTACTGCAGCCTGCAGGAAGGCCTGCCCTATCTGGACATGGTGATTGCAGAGACCCTGAGGATGTACCCACCAGCTTTCAGGTATGTCCACGGCCCCTGAACATTACCGGTTAGGGCCTTTACTGATCCTCAGTCTGTTGCGGCCTATCATTGCACGTGTCCTGAAGGGTTCCTGGGTTTCTGTGTATCCCCTGGAGCAGCAGGCACAAGGCCTGAAAAGTCTGGCCCGTTCTCCTGTAGGTTAACTGCTTTTACCAAACATCACTAGCCTTTCCCACCATGGCCTCCCTCCTCAGCCCAGCCCTGCCCTTTGACCTCTTAGCCTCTGGTGGACTCTGCCATCACCCCTGCCTGCCCATTGGTCCATCCACCCATCATTCACTCACCACCTATATAATCTGCACTAAGTACTAGAAAATTAGCCCATGCACAAAACAGGCTAAAGTCCCTGCCCTTGGAGGCGACATTCAGCAGAGGATCATCTAGGGCTGGAATGTTCCTTCCTTGGTGTCCAGCAGCCCCTGCTGGAGCTCTTACATAAGACTTCATGGCAAGGATTTCTTTTTTCAAAGATTTACCTATTTGCGTGTGTGTGTGTGTGTGTGTGTGTGTGTGTGTGTGTGTGTGAGACTTCATGGCAAGGATTTCTTTTTTCAAAGATTTACCTATTTGCGTGTGTGTGTGTGTGTGTGTGTGTGTGTGTGTGTGTGTGTGCGCGCGCGCGCGCGCGCACGTGCGTGTGCGCACGCGCACACACACACACACTTTTTTTTCTTCAAGATTTATTTATTTATTTTTATGTGCACATGTGTGCCTTCATGGGTTATGTGTACCATTTGCTTGCAGGTGCCAGCAGAGGTCAGAGGGCATCAGATCCCCTGGAACTGGAGTTTCAGGAGGTTGTGAGCCACCTGATGTGGGTGCTGGGAACTGAACCCAGTGAGACCAGTCAGTGCTCTTAGCTGCTGAGCCATTTCTGCAGCAGCGAGGGCTTCCGCCTCTCCGCCCAGCACTTTATGTTACATTCGTATTACATGTCCTTCATATTACATTCTTGGACACATTTCAGCACTCACAACATCACACCAACATGCAAATCAGATTAGGAGCCAGGCCTGCTTCTTTCAAACTCCCCCAAACCGAGTGACCCATGGGGAAAGGCATCTTACCCAGGGTCCCTTGAAGGTAATGAAATAGCGAGCAGACTTCACAGAAGTAGCATGAAGCATTTAATCGTATCTCATAAACTTCACTCCGCACTCTTCAAATGCCATGGAGACCATATGGAGATACCTTTTGTCATTTTCAAGAGAAAATGTGATCTGAGGGTAACTCAAAGGAATGTTCCAAACACAAACACGACAGATTATATGTATAGATATAATCCAAAATGTGCTGGCCCAAAAGCAAATACTCAAAGTTGCTGTAGTGTGAATTGAGGGTCTCTGGACACAGATCAGCTCATTAATTCAAAGGCTTCCTTGTTGCTTTTCTGATGCTGGTAGAAAGACCCAAGTCTACCGCCCTGCTGTGGCTTTCTTAGAAGCCACAAGTAACCTGATGTCCAATCCTTTTTTCTTCTTCATGATTTACATCCAGCTTTCCTCCCAGGGGACTTGGCAGGCAGCTGGTATGCACTGCAAAGTGCAAATTCAAAATGAAACTCAAAACTAAGCATTCAGTAGTAAAACAGAAGCAGGCTACTTCAAGGCCCATCTCCAAGGCCCAGGAATGACTGATAATGGGGGTCAAGTCTTCCCGTTGTTGCTGAGATTCCTGGGAAAGAGGGAACTGGCTGAGCTGCACAGCTATCTCTCCCCAGAAGGAGGAAATTATATAAACTGGCCAAAACTACATCATTTCAGGCTGGGTGTGGTGGTGCATGCGTTCAATCCCAGCACTCAGAAGGTAGATCTCTGTGAGTTTTGGACTGGCTAGGACAACATAGTGAGATCTTATCTCAAAATTTTAACAAAGGGGAAAAAATCATTTCCTAGATCTAAACCCAATCAAAAATCCATGTCATGGCCAGACATAGTGGTGAATACCTATAACCCTGGAGAGCATTTGAGCAGCTGAGACAGACCACTTCACCTGAGGAAGTAGTATCCTCAGACCCACCCCATTTCATCTTCTACTGAGGAAATTAATCCCTTAGTGTCTGCTAAACCAGCAGTGACTCTCTCTGAAGGAAATGCCATGTAAGACAATACTAATGTCCCTCAAGGGCCACCAATAGTTGCCTCCAGACCTTGGACTTCTGGTACTGGCTTATCAATCATGGTGTTTCCAGGCATAAAATAGATAGGAAGCCAACTGCATTCCTGTTTGATCTCTAAAAGCAGAAAAATTCTCAAACAAATGAAAGAAAGGCGGCATTGGATCATGGCAAAAGACAGTCTTGGCCAGTGAATCGATTTCCAGACTTGAGCCAGTTTGCAGACCCAGAACCCCTTGAATGGCAGGGTGGCCAGGTTCCCCTGAGGAAGGACCCTGATAAGACACCTGAAAGTTTTACAGTTAGTCTTTCTGCAGTGCTTCCCAGAGGGACCTGAGGCCTTTTACAGAGCCAGTTGTACACCGGGGGACAGGAGACAATCTGACTTTCCGGGGTCTATGGGATTCCGGTTCTCAATTAACACCGATTCCAGGAGATCCCAAGAAACAGTGTGGCCTGCCAGTAGGGCTCATGGAAGCCAGGTGATTAGTGGAGTTTTGGCTGATGTCCAACTCACAGTAGGTCCAGTAGGTCCCCAAACTCATCCTGTGGTTACATCCCCAGTTCCAGAATGTGTAATTGAGATAGATATGCTCAGAAGGTTGGCAAAATTCTTACAAAATTCTTACACAGGTTCCCTGACCTGTGGAGTGAGGGCTGTTATGGTTGGAAAGGCTGAAAGCCTTTAGAGTTGCCTCTGCCAAAGAAAATAGTGAATCAAGAACAGTCCGGCATCCCTGGAGGAACTGCAGAAATGAGTGCCACCGTCAAGGACTTGAAAGATGCAGGGGTTGTGGTTCCCGCCATATCTCCCTTTAACTCTCCTATCTGGCCAGTGCAGAGGACAGATGGATCTTAGAGTTGATTATTGAAAACTCAATCAGGTAGTAACTCCAATTACAGCTGCTGTACCAGATGTGGTGTCCTTACTTAAGCAAATTAACACATCTCCTGGTACATGGTATGCAGCTATTGATCTAGCAAATGCCTTTTTCTCAGTACCTGCCCATAAGGGCCACCAGAAGCAATTTGCTTTCAGTTGGCATGGTCAGCAGTATACATAGCTTTACAATTTTACCTCAAGGATATTCACTCTCCTGCCCTGTGTCATAACTTAGTTAGAAGGAATCTTGGTCATCTGTCTCTTCCATAAAATATCACACACTGCTGCACTATATTGATGGCATTATGCTGATTGGACCAAGTGAGCAGGAGGCAGCACCCACTTTGAACTCATTGGTAACCCATATGTGTATCAGAGGATAGGAAATAAATCCAACCAAAATCCAAGGACCTCTACCTCAGTGAAACTCTTAGGAGTCCAGTGGTGTGGGGCATGCAGAGCCATTCCTTCTAAGCTGGAGGGTAAGTTCTTACACCTGCCCTTCCCACTGCTGAGAAGGAAGCACGAGTTCATTGGCCTCTTTGGATTCTGGAGACAGCGCATTCCCCACTTGGGTGTGTTACCCTGCCCCATATACAAAGTGACTCAGAAAGCTGCGAGCTTTGAGTGGGTCCTGGAACAGGGGAAGGCTCTTCAACAGGTCCGGGCTGCTGTGCGGGCTGCTCTACCACTTGGACCATATGATCCAGCAGAGCCGAGGATACTTGGGGCGTCAGTGACAGATAGGGATGCTGTTTGGAGCTTTTGACAGGCCCCTATAGATGAAATCATAGAATCCCCAAATCACCTTTGGGATCTTGGAGCAAGGCTCTGCCATCATCTGCGGACAATTATTCTCCCTTTGAAAGACAGCTCTTGGCCTGCTATTGGACCTTAGTGGAAACTGAACGTTTGACAATAGGCTGCCAAGTTACCATGAGACCTGAACTACTCATCATGAGCTGGGTGTTATCAGACCCACCAAGTCATAAAGTGGGATGTGCACAGTAGCAATCTATTATCAAATGGAAGTGGTAAATACGAGATCAGGCCTGAGCACGTCCTGAAAGCACAAGCAAATTACATGAAGAAGTTGCCCGAATGCCTACGGTTTCCATTCCTGTTACAATGCCGTCTGCTGCCAAGCATGCACCTATAGCCTCATAGAGAGTTCTCTATGATCAGCTGACTGAGGAAGAGAAGACTAGGGCCTGGTTTACTGATGGTTCTGTACATTATCCCAGCACCACCCAGAAGTGGACAGCTGCAGCATTACAACCCCTTTCTGGGACAACCCTGAAAGATACCGGCAAAGGGAAATCTTCACAGTGGGCAGAACTTTGGGCAGTACACATGGTATTACAGTTTGTTTGGAAGGATAAATGGCCAGATGTGCAATTGTTCACTGACTCATGCGCTATAGCCATTGGATTGGCTGGATAGTCAGGGACTTGGAAAGAGCGTAATTGGAAAATTGGTGAGAAAAACATCTGGGGAAGAAGTATGTGGATAGATTTCTCCAAATGGGCAAAGGATGTGAAGATTCTTATGTCTCATGTAAATGCTCATCAAAAGGTGACTTCAGCTAAGAAGGAGCTTACTAATCAAATAGATAGGATGACCTGTTCTGTGGACAGTCAGCCTCTTTCCCTGGCCATCACCCAATGGGCCCATGAACAAAGTGGCCATAGTGGCAGAGATGGAGGTTTTGCATGGGTTCAACAACATGGACTTCACTCACCAAGGCTGACCTGCCTACAGCTGCTGCTGAATGCCAGACCTGCCAACAGCAGAGACTAACACTGAGCCCCATGTATGGCACCATTCCTCGGGGTGACCAGCCAGCAACCTGGTGGCAGGGTGACTACATTGGACCACTTCCTCCATGGAAAGAACAACGCTTTGCCCTGACTGGAGTAGATATTTATTCTGGTTATGGATTTGCCTTTTCTGCACACAACGCTTCTGCCAAAATCCATGGACTTGCAGAATGCCTGATCCACTGTCGTGGTATTCCACAGAGCATTGCTTCTGACCAGGGAACTCACTTCACAGGCAGAGAAGTGTGACAGTGGACCCACGATCATGGAATCCACTGGTTTTCCCATGTTCCCCACCATCCTGAAGCAGCTGGCCTGACAGAAAGATAGAATGACCTTTTGAAGACACAGTTGCAGCACCGATTAGGTGGCAGCAGCCTGGAGGGCTGGGGCAGGGTTCTCCAGAAGGCTGGGGCAGGGTTCTCCAGAAGGCAGTATACGCTTTGAATCAGCATCCAGTATGTGGTATGTTTTCTCCCATAGCCAGGACCCATGGGTCCAGAAATCAAGGGTGGAATCCATTCACTATCACCCCTAGTGACCCAACTAGGAAAGTTTTGGCTTCCTGTTCCCACACCCCTAAGTTCTGCTGGCCTAGAAGTTTTGGTTCCAGATGGGGGAGTGCTCCTGCTAGGAGCCACAATAAACATGCCATTGAACTGGAAGCTCAGCTTCCCCTCGACACTTTGGGCTTCTAATGCCCTTAAAACAACAGGTGAAGAAAGGAATAACGGTGTTAGGAGGGTGATAGATCCAGATTACCATGGTAAATTGGATTGCCTCTCTACAATGGAGGTAAGAAGGATTATGTCTGGAGTGCAGGAGACGCTTTAGGGTGTCTCTTGGTCCTACCATGTCCTGTGATTAAAGCTAATGGGAAGCTACAACAGCCTAATCCAGGCAGGATGACAAAGGGCACAGACCCTTCAGGAATGAAGGTTTGGTCACTCCTCCAGGAGAAGAGCCAAGGCCTGCTGAGGTGCTTCCCAAGGGTGGAGGAAAAAAGAAAATGGGTAGTAGAGGAAGGTAGTTCTAAGTACCATCTATTGCCATGTGACCAGCTGCAGAAACAAGGATTATAACTGACATGAGTGCTTCTGTTGTAGTTTGTTAATGTTTTTGTACGGATATTGTGTTTTCTTTCAACTTCCTTATACGTTGTAACATCAATTAAGAGAATATCAACGGTTATCATACTAGAAGGATGTCCCCCAAGGGACAATGCCACTATTCTAAATTTATGATACGTTTGTGGTTGTACAAGGGTTATATCATGTTAGGTGTAATTATGATCTGGTTAAATATATATAATGCACTTGTGAGTGTACATGGGATGGTTATATTATGTTTAGGCATTATGACCTGGTTATTGTTTTTCATTTGGAAATTAATAATGACATAAGGATACATGATTGTGTGTAAAGTTGACAAGGGGTGGATCGTGACGGCTATTCTTGGCTGTCAAATTGACTATATCTGGAATGAATTATAATCCAGAAATGGAGGGCACACTCGTGATCCATAATCCCCACATACATGGAGGGCTCCCCAGCGCTCCGCTCATAGATGAGACATTATCTCCAAGGGCCATGCACATCACAAGGGCCTTGAGATTGGAAGGGGTTCGTTCGTTCGTGGGACAAAAACTTGGGTTTCCTCTCTGGTTCACCCTGGCAAGAGGGTTGGGTCCAGTCTCTAGTCTCACTCCACACTCCATCTTGGGTCCCGTAACACCTGAAGCCCTACCCACTGGCACACTGGCAAGCTTTCCTGCCCCTGTCTCCCACAGATTCACACGGGAGGCAGCACAGGACTGTGAGGTGCTGGGACAGCACCTCCCCGCAGGCACAGTGCTGGAGATAGCTGTGGGTGCCCTACACCACGACCCAGAGCACTGGCCGCACCCCGAGATCTTTGACCCTGAAAGGTGAGTGAAGTCTGTCTAGAAACAGGTGTCCCTGAGGGATGTGAGTGTATGGGATAGAAAGTTTGCTACAGAGACAGCAGACAGGAGTCACAGGCAAAGTTGTCCCCAAAGAGCACACCAATTCAGACAGACTGTGAGGCACCATTTCCAAAGGAAAAACTGATCCAAAGATCTAGCATGATAGCAATAATGCACGTAAGAGTCAGTATCTTTTGTTTGTCCGGGCCGGGACACAGGAGGCAGGGTTGGTTTGTGTTTATTTTTTTCAGATTTAATTTCTAATTATGTGTCGTGTGTGTGTGAGAGAGTGTGTGTGTGTGTGTGTGAGAGAGTGTGTGTGTGTGTGAGAGAGTGTGTGTGTGTGTGTGTGTGTGTAAGTATGTGCCATGAGTGTAGGTACCTATGGAGGCCATTGCATCAGGTCCCATGGAGCTGGAGCTACAGGCAGGTATGAACTGCCCAGCATAAATACTGGGAACCAACTCAAGTCCTCTACAAGAGTGGTACATGATCTCAACCACTGAACCATCTCTCCACCTTGCAGGGTTATATTTTGTGTGTGCATGAGAAAGCAACAAACACATCACTTCCATCTAGTGCATTCATATCAGCATAACTGCCCTTCAAACCTAAATTCATGAGATCCAATAGACCTGGATCCTCTTCCTTTCGTGGACATGGATCTGGCTGCTGTCGATTTCATTTCTAGGCTTTATGGTATAGAACACCTGGGCAGCCCTCACACGCTGCTTCTTGACAGAATCAGTCACTTTCCTTCTCCTGTGGCCCAACACGGGAGGCGCTGAAGGAGCCACTGGGCTTCTCCATTTACTAACTCCACCTGAATCCAGTCCACCTCTCCACTAACTAACATCCCACAGCTCAGGAGCTCCTGCAGACAGGGCAAAGATTCATAACCCAAACCAGCAGCTGTGGGGCTCACAGCATGACAAGACAGCCTAGAAGTGGTGAGAAGCAAGCTGGTCATCACAGGTTGGTGACTGCCACCTAGCTCCACAGAGCTAGGGCTGAGATCTGATAGCAAGCTCAGTCCTTCTGCCTTCAGCCCAAATCTTGAGGCGCCCAAGGACTCGAGCTTCCCACATCCTGGGCAGCAAAGCCAGGGCAGTGGGGAGGTAGCTGCCGGTCTTGGATGAGATAGCAGGTCGGGCCCTGGGAGGGCTTCTGGGGTGTGGCCAAAGTGCCTGGGAACTTCACTGAGGAGGAAATGAGAGAGGCTGTGTGGTCTGATGTGAGGGGAGGGGAGGCATGCTGGGGTCGGGGTGTGCTTGTCAAGCCTTAGGAGTTTGGATTATCTCCGGCCTTCACACATACATGGATAATAATGACTTCCTAGACAAGGTGAGAGGGTGCACTCAGCTGACTGTCTGAATGGAGCAGCTTCTGGGATTGGGCAGGACAGTGCTGAGGGACCAGAGGCCACCAGCTACCCAGAACCTTGAGGACAGTCCTGGACACAGGATCTTCTTGTCCCTGGTGGAGGGAAGGGACCTCAGATGAAGGGGAATTGACAATTCAGATCAGCAGTTTTCAACCTGTGCCCTGCATATCACACATGTATGTTACAATTCATAACAGTGGCAAAATTATAGTTATGAAGTAGCAATGAAATAATTGGGGGGGGGCTCATCACAACAGGAGAGACTGTATTAAAGGGTCGCAGCATTAGGAAGGCTGAGAAGCACTGCTTCCGATGGAGCAGGTGTCTCAGGCCGACTGGAACCTCCACCTGACCCGTAGGTTCACAGCAGAGGCTCGGCTTCAGCAGAGACCCTTCACATACCTGCCCTTCGGAGCTGGCCCCAGGAGCTGCCTCGGGGTGCGGCTGGGGCTGCTGGTGGTCAAGCTGACACTCCTCCAGATCCTACACAAGTTCCGCTTTGAAGCCAGCTCTGAGACTCAGGTGAGGGTCTGCCTGTGAGCCAGGGTTGGTCCCCCTCCTCCCAGGGATACCCCATCTCTTGATCAAAGCATGTGCTAGAAACTGCAGCCTCCATCTCATCCCGGTGTGAGGGGAGATGACTGTACGCTTGTGCTCAGGTAAGTGTTGGCCCGACTCCATGAGGTTGTTAGCATCACCCTCAGTACAGTAGCAAGTAACTGTCGTCGTCGTAACTGATCCTGAAGGGTTTTGGAGTGATCAACTTTTTCTACAGAAAGAAGCCAGGGACCCTCTCTCTGGCTCCTTCCGACTCCCAAAGTTTTGTCTCTCAGCCCACAGCAAGATTTTCACAAGCCATGCTTCAGGCTAAGTTCTGACAAATATTTTAATTTACTCTATTTTAGGTTCCACTTCAGCTAGAATCCAAATCTGCCCTAGGCCCCAAAAATGGAGTCCACATCAAGATTGTGTCACGTTGACACAGAAGGCAAGTCGAAAGCACTCTGTGATGATGACATCTTCAAGTCCTGTTTGAAGGGTTCCCCCCGGGACTCCAACAAAAGCCTGGTGTGGAGACGGAAATGTTTAAAGAAATACAGAGATGGTATCTTTATCTTAGGGTGATTAAAAGGGTACATGGCACTTGAGCATGTTATTTATGTCACAGTCCTGGATGTTTAATAAATGTTTGTCACGCTTCATTTTGACAGTGGGGTTCAAAGCATGGCTTTCTTGGGACTGAGGTTGAATAAGGGAAAGGTCGTTTTGATTAAACCGTGAGTATGGTGTCAAAGGAGTCCTGGCCTCCGGACGGTGCAGGGGAACAGGGAAACTTGGGGGAACAGGTCCTGAGGGCACCGGCATGGGCTTTTTGAGCTTCTCATGATGAATAGGTTTCAGAGAATAATATGTATGGACACTCAGCCTCAAAGTGGCTCCAAAGCCTCATTATGCTTTGACTAAATAAGGGCAGAAGAAATTTACTAGAAGTTTCCACAGCAGAATAATACAGGCTTAAGGATCTTTTTCTTTAAAGGGCACACTATTGGCTCTCTTAATGCTTGGTCCGGGGGTTCAGACTCACTGGAGAAAACCAACCATTCCTGGAGACCTACAGACCTCCCTTCCTTCCCTGACAGCTCTCCCAGTTTCTGACACTCATCAGCCACTGCAGGAGGCCCAGCTAAACATGCAGGTAGGCTGGGGGGGGCGGTGGTGGCGCACGCCTTTAATCCAGCACTTGGGAGGCAGAGGCAGGCGGATCTCTGTGAGTTCGAGGCCAGCCCGGTCTACAGAGTGAGTCCCAGGACAGGCTCCTAAGCTATACAGAGAAACCCTGTATTGGGGGGAAAATGCAGGTCCCTGCTGAAGGAACAGTCCAAAACCAGAACAGAAGGGGTGGGCATCTGATGAAAGGTGTTAGAATGATGTCTGGTGCAAAAGGGTACAGGATTCAGGGCAAAAACATATAGATGCAACTGATTAGAAGGGCCTGAGGATCTAGGTGGGATATAGCAGAAGATTTTGTGCACATCCTGTTTCCTGCCCAAGGTTATTCGTGTTGGGCATGGACACAGTAGGATGTAAGCAGGGCTAGGAAGGACACTGAAGGGATGGGCGTCCAGTGATTCTAACAGTCCTGTCTGTGAAGATAGGGACCTTCTCACAGCAGGTCTATAAATAATAAATACGTAATAAATGTAATAATAAATATAATCCGTAAAGAGCCTTTCCTCCGCAGCCCCACACAAGCAGGCACCGGCTCCTGCGGCTGCAAGCCCCTCCCCTCCCTAGTACTGCCAGTCTAAACAGTGTCCTCCACAACACTCACGGGGCCAGACGGATGCCCCCCACCCTCTAAACTACCACAGCAGGACCAAGAACTCAAGCAAAACACAGTGAACTTTCAGGATCAGTCAGGATGTGATAGAGTCACACTGAGAGCTCATGAAAAGCACATTGTCTGCAGCTCTGGGGCTGACCCCAAAGTGAAGGCTTATCTTTCTGACCACTGAACTCAGCTCTCTGTATTGATTAGTAACAATGCCCTGTGTAAGGTTTTAGTCACTCCAAAGTGATAAATCTAGTTCAACTGCCTTAGATTTGATCACCACAGGACATACCAATGGCACACCTCTTTAAGATGGAGTCAGTCTCCCTGCCAGCTTGGACCACACGAGTGTATTCAGACACAGATGCATGTGGAGAACATGTTGTTCAATGGGGAAACTAGGTTTTGTGGGACAAAACCTTTCTATCAGTTGGAGGAAAGAAAAATATAAATATATATGTGAACACCTGACTATATTGCGAGGGCCCTTCCTAGAACCTTGGAAGAGGAGGTAGCGAGGGAACCAGACCTTCAGCCCTACAGAGGCCAGTGATATTAACTGTTATATTTTGCTATGGTCTGAATGTTTCTCCCCACAAACCCATGTTAAATCTGCACCCACTGGTGATGGTCTCGGGATGTGGGCTCTTCAGGAGGTGGTTAGGTCCAGAGAATGAAGCCCTCATCACTAAGATTAACATCCTTATAAGGGCCTGAGTTAGATATCCTTCTGCCTCCAAGGTTATTGTGAGATGGCCAGCTATGAGGAATGATCCTTAACAGACCCTGAGTCTACAGGCACCTTGATTGTGAACTTTCTAGTCTCCAGAACCTTGAACAACAAATGCTTAGTTTTCATTAAAGCCACTCAGTTTATAGTCATTTGCTTTAATAGCCTACAAGACTAAGATAATCCCAACGCCCAGGGAAGGGCCCCCTATTCTTTGTAAACACACTGAAAATGAACTCCAGCCTTCATCGTTTCATAGTCTTTTATTTCCATACTCTTATGTGACATTTGCAGCACAGGTCAGTCAATCTCACTGGGACAGAAAACTCACACCTGGAAGGTGTCCTGTATGCTTACGGGATTTGGGTACAGGCACTTATGAGACAAGCCCGGGACTCGGGGGGGTGGGGGGGGGTGGGGGAGGACTCGTCTAAGTCTCCTGCTGGGGGCAGGGGGAATGGGCTTCATTTACACCAAGAACTGCCTGGGTTAGTGCCAGAGCAGTGGGCGGAAGTGACAGCGACGCCCGAGGCCTTCCCTGTAGTCTCCCCAAAGGCCACTATGCTACTCTGACGAAAAAGCACAATGGACCACAGGACCCTCCAACAGAACTGTTCGACAGACATAAACTCTTAACAATTAAAAACGTCTGTAAAACAGTATGTAGAAATTCTGTGCTTAGAGTTAATAAACACCAAAGTCATCAAAGAGTTAAAAATACAATGCTAATATTACTAAAAGGCAAACTTGGGCTCACAATCACTACTTATGGTGAGATCATAAGCCAACCTGAAAGGACCTAAAAACTAAAACTGTTATCAGCCAAGGATTAAGATTGTAGCTTCAAGTCAGGCCTGGCAATATAGACCTGTAATCCCAGCTGCTCAGGAGACTGAGACAGAATATAATTTAGCAAAACTCTGCCTCATAATAAAAACATTTTAAAAGGGCTGGGGGTGTAGTTCAGTGGTAGAGTGTTTGCCTAGCAAGCACAAGGCCCATCCCCAGCACTAGGGGAGAAAAGAAAAAAAGAAAGAAAAAAGAAAAAAAGACTGTAACTTCACTGAGAAGCCATATTAAATAGTTCATTAAAAGTTTTGTTTAAAAAAGACTTTCCAAACAGCTCCACCAGAAAGGCCTAATGCACCTTGGCCACACTCATTGCCGGCCAGTGAACAAGGAACCCAGGGTGACAAAGATGGAGGGGGTAGTAGGCGGGGGCTTGGAGGAAGTGGAGTATTGGATGAGGTACTCGGGGTAAACTTGATGCTTCTCAAAAACTACAAAGATGGATGGGTCGGACATGCTGTTCACGCAGCTGTCATAGAAGGCACTGCTCTGGCCCTCCTTGGCTGGAGGGCGGACGAAAGCAGCATTGCCCCTGATGAAGTCTCCCACCAGCACCCGGGCCAGGAACATGGTGTGGGAATGTGTGTCGGACTTGCTGTAGTGGTGGGAATAGGCAGCATCTCTCGCAAAGTAGCTCCCTGAAACGATACACACAGGCTCCACAGGGCACTGGAAGGGCAGGCACATCCTGGCAATGTGGTGCCAGCAGTCTCTGCTCTTCCAACACCACAACACCCCTCTTCTACTCCAGTTCTCTACCTTCTCCGTCACTGCTGGAAGTCATCAACACCTCTCTATGTAGCAGGGCACGAGAGGACGTCCCCTAACTCAAACTAAGCTTAGCTCTGAATCCAGCGAAAACCTAGAGTCAACACTTGGTTCTGGACTTCAGTTTCCCACCTACAGAATAGGGCTGCCCCACCCTGCCTCAGTGGGTACCATGGAAAAGGAGCACCGTTCTTCCTACTGAGCCATTCTACAGACACCAGTAGCCCAACCTATAGAACAATGATTCTTCTCAAATGGGAACCTGAACTAGAAGCTGCTCCCACTCTCAGGGCTTACTAACCTATCAGCAGCTTGTCAATCCCACAAATGTCACATCAGACTGAAACTGATAATCAGGTAGTCCATGGAGTTCAAGTCAAACAAACAGATTCTTTTGGGTTTTGTTTGTTTGTTTCTTGAGATACGGTCTCTCTACATAGCCCTGGCTCTCCTGGAACTCATGTAGATAAGGATGACTTCAAACTCAAAGAGATCCACCTGCCTTCTTCGTAACGAGTGTTGGAAGGTGCAAGAGAACCACAGATGCCAGTTACTTAAAAATGGTTCAGAAAATGAAAAGATGAAAGAAGCCAACATGGCAACATGTTAAAATTGAGGAATGTGGATACAATTTATGCAAGAATCACTATACATACATGTGTGTATAAATACATAAACACACAGCTTGCAACTTTGCTGTGAGTTTGAAATTACTACCAAATAATGTTTTAAAATAACTAAGAGAGAAAAATGCCTAGAGAATTCCTATGTGCTCGATGGAATGACCCTCTCTGGTTTCTATTCTAAGGATGTCATTAAGGCACAGCCGAGGGTGCTCAGCAAGGTTAGAAAGGTATAGTTGCTCTCCTCTTCCAACTCTCACTACCTCCCAGAGCCTCCACTCTACCAGAAACAAGTCCCAGTGAGCAGGACTGCCCTGCCATAAGCTGACTGAGCTCTCGATCAGACATAATGGATCACACAGAATGATGGAGCTGTCCCCACCGGGCACGGGCAGCTCAGGGTGGAGCCGTCCCCACCGGGCACGGGCAGCTCAGGGTGGCGCTGTCCCCACCGGGCACGGGCAGCTCAGGGTGGAGCCATCCCCACCGGGCACGGGCAGCTCAGGATGGCGCTGTCCCCACCGGGCACGGGCAGAGGCACTGCACTTGTTCACTGACAGCACGGAATGGCCGGCTCCTCCTGTAGCCTCTGTGAGGCTGTCTTCAAGCAGTTTCCCAGCTGCTGATGGAGCCAGCCCTGCCTTACCTTTGCCATAGGATGTGCCATGCAGACCACAGACCCGCCAGTCAAAGTTCTGCTGGCAGATGGCATCCACAAAGCTGGTGTTGGTACCATGGAACAGCTGCCTCTCGTCTACTTCCTTCCCTCCATTTTGTTTCTGCATCTGCCCTTTTTGCCTAGAATGGTAGAAACATGCATGCTGAAGGAAGATGATGTTGACCACCAAAGAACAGCTTCCTGGACCCATTTTCTAAAAAGAAAAGAAGTATCATGTGACCAGAAGAAGGCTGTGGCTTCCCTGACCAACTCCTGGAGGCTCAAGCCACAGAGCACAGAATGGAGAGAAGCTGGGCTGGGTCTGGTCAAAGAGCGGAAGGTTCCAGAAGCAGAACAGCTCTTGGAAGCTCCCGAGTGGAGCTGAAGCTGGAAGCTGGGAAAGGTTGTGAGGCTGCTGGTCTGGGGGTGAGGAGCATTCACCCTCAGAGCCCATCCCCCCCTCTACTATGAGGGGCTCCATCACTGCAGAGAGGTATGGTACTGTCCCAGACCCATGTGAAGCCAAGTCAGCAGGCCCCAGGCATCATGGAGAGCCATGATGAATTTCTACCCTATGTGGAGAAAAGGTGGGTGAACATGAACATGCTGGTCCTCGTGGGAAGAATAAACAAACAAACAAATAAATAAATGAGGCCCCTCCACTCTCCAACTACAACTTGAAGTTCTTAAGGCTGATAGTGTGAGTGAACTGTCTTGCTCTGTCCTGCTGATCTTCAGAAAGTCAGAATGGACAAGGTTTACCAGTCACAATGAGAACAGGGCCAATGCTAGGGAAGCTTCAGTCCCTTCACCTTGACAGAGGGCTGCTCCATCACACAGCCTTACTTACTGGGAAAGGAAGAGCAGAGACAGTTCATGACATACAACGGCACTGGGTGAGCAAGCTGCTGCCTCTGACTGTCCTGGAGAGGCAGGGCACGCTGATAAGCAGCCAGCAGGTTAAGAAAGACAGCTATCAGTCACACATACCACTGGTAGACTTCCCACAGGCCCAGGTTCTGGATCCGCTCGATCTTTTGAACATAGAAAGGTAGTGTGCGGTTGAAGAGGTTCCACACCTTCTGGTACTCTTCTGAGGAAGAACTGAGAATAATCTTCTACAAGGGGAAAATAATTTTCCTATGTTATCGTCAGATGACTCAAATCTATGAACTGTCTTGAGATCACTGGGAATCTCTGTAACTTCAAGATAAAGCCTAAGAGTGATGGTTTGGCCCTCTTCTCTGAGATGCAGTTTCTCCAGATAGGAAAAACTGTTTTCAGAGTATAGTAATTTCCCTCTTGTTCACTTTGAAAATGGTTCCTAGGTCAGCTGGTGGTGCCTAATCTACCCATCTTAAGTATCTCCAGGATGTCGCTGTTACTGTTTTATACCCCACACAGGCCAAAGACAAGAAAGTAGAGCACATGCCCGGCAAGAACTAGAATCAACAAAGGTGTGTGCGCTCCTCTAGCCCTGCACATGCTGCCGCCTGCTTCTGTGTGTGCTTTGAGCTCTATAAGAGACATCCTCCCACGACAGGCTCCATATTGGAAAAGCCGTCTGCAGTGTCTGGCATGCTCCCAGCCCTGGAAATCAGCCAAGGTGCCTCCCACTGATGGAGCACCAGGGACATTCATCAAGACAGTATTCTGCTCAGCACCACTCCAAGAAAGCAGGCCTCAGATGAGCTACTGAATGGCTCTCTTGTCCACTACTGTCCAGTGTCTTCCCCTCTACATGTCCCTCATCACACTCAAATACTCCCCTGTTTCTTTTCATTACTTAGTGAAACAGATGTATTGATCCAGCCCTGCTTGGAAGCTCCTTACTTCTGCCCTCCCTAGCCAATGTCACAGCTCCTATCTTCCCTTACACTAACCACCACTTTCCCTAAGAGCTACAGTCAACCCATACATACAACCCATAGTCACCCAGTATGAAAACCCCGAGATCTACAGAAACAAAACAGAAAGCCCACATACATCCCCACCCTCCAGTGCCACGAGCCATCCATCTTTAGAGAACCCCTTCTGTCCAGCTCCAGGGGGTGTGAATCCCATACCTTAAATCCTAGGTCTGGCAGGGCTGCAGGGTCCCAGTAGTCTGGGATGCTCTTTGGGACTTGAAACTTAGTATTGCTACAAAAGGTAAGCAAAACCACTTAATTCATAGACATATGGAAATCCACAGGTGATCTCTATTCACCAATATCACTAGTCCTGAGTCTTAGGATAATATATTTTAAGAAATAGAGGACAAGGAAGTACATAGCAAAATATCTACAGCATAAGAGCACTTTCATCTTGCCTACCAGCCAAGGCAAAAGCCATCAGTCCTGAGAGATGCACTTCTCGCCTGCATCCCGCCAACCCCACAGAAAGGACAGAGTACTTCAATAAAGCAGTAGACACGGGCCCCAGCCTTTACCAAAGTCTTGAAATTCAAAAAACACCAAAGACTTTTTTGAAGCCTTAATGATATACACTTGATATAAAGAAAATATTTTTAAAACAGTAAAATTGGCTCCCAAACCCACTTTGTAACAGAAATTTGAGTTAAGCTGATGAGAGGGTACTTGTGGTCTGTTGTTTGTCCTTAAATGTGCATTCCTTTTTGCAATTCTCTCTCTCTCTCTCTCTCTCTCTCACACACACACACACACACACACACACACACAGTGCTAAATTAAAGGGTGTCATGTAACAGAGGCATTACATTACCTTCTAAAAATATAAACAAATAAAAGTAGTACTAAAAACTGCCTCAAAGGGCTTAGAAACATCACTATGAGAAGTACCACCCGCTCATTTCCCTTACATTGAAACCTCCCCTGTCCTTCCTACAGCAGACCTACGTTCTGTTTCTGCTGGCATGGGGTATGTCCCCCCTTCATCCCAAGCCTCCAGGAAATCTCACAAATACTTTTTCTAGGAAAAAGTCACAGTTTAAAAGTAATTAAGCAAGGATCCAAAAGTAAGAACCAGCCACAAGGTTCTTTTCACCTATTTCACCTAGGAAGATGAAATTATCAGACAGATTACAATCAGTGTTTATTCTTCCTATGCTTAAAACAAAACACTTGGAACAAACATGTAGAAAAAACAGAAAAAGACCTACAAGAACCTAACAAGAACCAAGCAGAACTGATAGAAAAACAGTGAATCCTTGACAAGAGAAACTCAATGTCTAACTCGCAGATTCACCCACCTCAAGAGTGAAGTGAGCTGAAAGATGTGTGGATGAAAGTATTTAGAAACTGGTCCAGAGAACAAGGGCATGATGGGAAATGTGAAAGGCCTAGTGGGAACCTAAGGAAGCTCTAAACAGGACAGAACTGGTGAGACACATTAACCACAGCTTTAAGAAGCCCACAGAATCTCAGTCAGAATAAATACAAACACATGCCTAGACACAGCAGAATGAAATACAGAACACCAGGACCTTTAAAATTAGCCAGAGGGGATTAAAAACAAAGTGATAGCATCCATGGAAAAGTACTAGTTAGACCTACAATGCTACCTCAGAAGCTACACCGAGAAGCAGAAGCCAGTAGAGAGGTAGCTTCGGTGTTCTAAGAGACAGGAACTACAGCCCAACAGTCTATACCCAGTGAAACCATCTTTCAAAGACAAAATAAAGACATTCAGACTAACTAGAAACAACCATCTCTCTCTTCCCCAAGAAATCTTATCTAAGGAATTTGAAAAGACAAGTCAAGGTTAAAATGTGCATAATTTAATGAAGGCTTCAAAGTATAGAACAGGTGTCTCTTAAAGTTAAAACAAAAAAAAATCTAGAGGAGATTATGAAGGTCCTTACAATAGGAAAGCAAAGACATTCATTTTTGCCTAAGTGAAGAACACACAGACTTTCTTACACCGTTTCTAACACACTGTACAACTTCCAAACTAGTAGTGAGGAAAATAAAACATATTTTTTTAAAAATCAAAAAATCTTCACGTTTTTAATACACTTAATTTGTGTTTGCATGTGTGCATATATGTGTGCATGTGGAAGCCACAAGGGAATTTGTAGTTGCTTTTCTCCTACCACCATGTGGGTCCTCGGGATTGATCTTGGGTGTGTCAAGTTTAGCAGCAAATGTCTTTACCTACTGAGCCATATTACCAGCCCTGGATTATGTTAATTGAAAGTAGAACTAAACTCAATGTATACAAATGCAGTTTCAAATTTTACATTAAATGATGCTCCTACAGACTAAGGTATGACTCATGTGTGCCCAGGCAGCCACTGTTGCTAGAGTTACTGAGTAACTAGCTACTGTCATAAGGGTTGAGGAAGGAACTAGGCACCTCACCTGCATAGGCAGGATGCAGGATACAGCAGTCAGCTCACAGCTCACTGAGGAGTAGGACTTGAATCATTTGTACCTTATTTTGTATCTGATCAAAATAACTACTTTTTTGTAGTTATTTTGTGCCTTGCATTGCACATGCCACACATGTCTGCTTATGGTCCCTTAAAAACTAAATTAGATGATGACACAAGAAATTCAGTCTCAGAAAAGAAACAGAAAAGGCTTTTCCAAATTTTGCTTAGGGAAAGAATAAAAATGACTTCATGTAATTTTTGTAGGCCCATCACAAACAATCACAACTAAGCCTAGAAACAACACCAAAGACACCGACATTGAACCAAAACAGTTAAAAAAAAAAAAAAGCTCTAATGAAAAATACCTTATGAATAGCAAGATAATAAAGCAGATAAAAAGCCAAGAGGGTGTATTTAGAGTTTATAAAAGCAGTCAAGGGCTAAAAAGCAGGCAGAGGCAGGCAGCTCTCTGTGAGTTTGAGGCCAATCCAGGCTACAAAGTGAGTTCCAGGACAGGCTCTAAAGTTACACAGAGAAACCCCGTCTTGAAAAACCAAAGGGGGTGGTGGGGGAGTCCTAACAGATTAAAAAGAGCTCTCAGGGCTGGGAAGCCATTTCATCTGTTTCATTCAGTGAAGTGCTTGCTGTGTAAGTATGAGGACCTGAGTGTGAACCCCAGGAACCCACAATGGAAGGGGAACCAATGCCCAAAACTTTCTCTCACCCTTCTATGCTTGAGCCATGAATATGCAAATCTTTTTTCATCATACATACAATCATAATAAATAAAATTTAAATTAAAAAAAGACCCAGGCAGTGGTGGTGCACACCATTAGTCCCAGCACTCAGGAGGCAGAGACAGGCAGATCTCTGTGAGTCTGAAGCCTGCCTGGTCAACAGAGCGACTTCCAGGACGGCCAGGGCAGTTACACAGAGAAATCCTGTCTCAAAAACAAAAAGACAGTCCACAGGAGGAAAAAAAGGATTTGGAGAATTATCCCTTATGTTTTAAAAAAATATACTCAATCTCATTCATAAAAGTAAGCAACTGGGGGATGGAGAGGTGGTTCAGTGGTTAGGAGCACTGACTGCTCTTCCAGAGGATCTGAGTTTAGTTCCCAGCAACCACATGGCAGCTTAAAACTGTCAAAACACTAATGCACATAAAAAATTTAAAAAAAAAAAAAAAAAAGAAAAAAAAGTAAGCCAACTGAAGTACACTATGAGAATGGCAGAATGTACCAGGGCTTGATGATTCACAAAAGGCAAGGCCAAGGAAAATTCATAAATTGTGATTTTGCTGGGTGGCCATAGTGGTCCAAGTTCATGGAAAGGAACTCAATTTGCCTTTTGACTTTGACCTGACAACCAACCTCCAAGCGCACCAGAGGGTTCTCTGTAGCATTGCATTTTGTAATAGTGAATTACTGAAGATACAAACATCCAAGAAAGGGGAACAAGTTAATACACTACGTTATATACAAAAACTAATAAACCACCCAAGCAGAAGTAGATTAAAGAAGTCTTCAGTAATCTGAACAGAGCAATTACCAGGATATCTTTAAGATTTTTTTAAAGGTTCAGAATGGTGTATATATAGTAAGTTACCATTTATGTAAGCAAAGATAGGAAGCAGGCAGATGGCTTTATGAGTACCTGTACATATATACATACTATTTTATTTTTGCAAAGGCGAACACAGAAAAGAGCAATTAAATGGTTACCACAATGGAAGCAGGTTTGAGATAACACAGATACAAACTACTGAGTATGTTGTATTATAGAGCTCTGACTTTTAAATAAGTACATGTTTTACATTTCATCAAAAATAAACTTTAATTAGAAGAGAAAAAAGGAGGGCATATTCTCAAGAAATTATGTTGCTGTATTTGAGTCACAAGGCATTGCTTCTTGGACTGATAATACACTTTTCGTCTTACTTATTCCAATTCTTTTTTAAATGACCTTTGTTTTACAAATACAATCAATAAACTTTACCTTCAAAGTCTCCAGAGAACCAACAAAACCAAAGTGATCCTGGCTTTTCAGGCTAATAAAGCTTAGGCAGCTAACAACATTGTTATCTTGAAGTCCCAGCACTGGCCATAGCAGACCAAGACTCTAAGGGGAACTTGGTACATCTTCACTGTCCAGGCCACCTTCTTCTAGTGCACAGCCAGCTCCAATCCCATCACGCCTGGCCAAGACTAAACCATTCTTGCTTTTAAAGAGATTTGATCAGTACAGCGCTCGAGAATTCCCATCCGCTGCAGAAAGTCTCTCTCCTCCCTTATATGCTGCCTATGGGTTCAATCAGATGCTCCTGGCAGCCATCCTGTGACACAAGAAACCCACTGTGGCCGGGTGCCTTTAATCCCAGCACTAGGGAGGCAGAGCCAGGTGGATCTCTTGGAGTTTGAGGCCAGAGTGAGATCCAGGACAGGCACCAAGACTACATAGAGAAATCCTGTCTTGAAAAAAATCAAAACACACAAAAAAGTTAAAAAAGAAAAGAAATCCACTGTGAAGTGAAGCTGGTTTGCTAATGACTATTGAATCATTTTCTTTCTTTCTTTGTGTTTGTTTTTTGTTTTGTTTGTTTGTTTTGTTTTTTTCAAGACAGAGTTTCTCTGTGTAATAGGTTTGGCTGTCCTAAAACTCACTTTGTAGACCAGGCTGGCCTCTAACTTACAGAGATCTGCCTGCCTCTGCCTCCCAATTGCTGGGATTAAAGGTGTGATGGCATACACCGGCAACTTCACCATTTTTTAAAGATTCAGGTCTATAATTCAGTTGTCACACTTAAAGACAAACTGATGGGCTGGCTTCTAATCTAGTCAGGTTTGCACATCCCAACAGACAGCCTTGTGACTTTTAGATGAAACCCACAATGCTAATTCTCACTATGGCTCAAAGACTTTCCCAAGTAGAAGGTTTGGGGTTTTTTTTTTGTTTTTGTTTTTGTTTTTTGAGACAGGGCTTCTTTGTATAACTGTCCTAGAACTAGCTCTATAGACCAGACTGACCTTGAACTCAGAGATCCGCCTGCCTCTGCTTCCCTAGTGCAGGGACTAGAGGTGTGTGCCACCACAGCCTGGTTCCCAACTAGTAGGTTTAATGACAGTAGTATGCCAGTCATGCATGCCAGTCAGTACCCTTCCATGTAGTCTGAGAAGCTTCCTGTTCCTGGCAGCAAAGCACTCTCCAACTGAACCCATACACCAAGCAAGCTCACAAATGTTAACTTACCAGGACTGCTTCATCTGAACATCCTTGGGAGACACATACTTGGGTCTGCGACAAACCTTTCTGACAGTGCCATACACAAGGTTTTTCTGCAGAAAGGCTGAAAAAAAAAATCAGATGTGTGTGCATGCACAGCAGTAATGTTCTGTAAACATAAATTAAATGGGTTGGACAGATAATCCAACATATAAAACCCAAGATCAGTCTTAAAGATAAGGCAATTTTACACATTTCAAATAGTCATAAAGAAAATAGGTATCCTTAGGAGACTGAGTTTAATGAATAGAGAAATGATTAGTAATTGGTGTATCAATTACACATGAATGCTTTTGAATTGTTCCTTCCAATAATATTTAAATTATTGTTTTGCTTAGCAATTTTTTCCAGCTTGGATGTAAAGAAGTTCCAGCCAAGCCTAAGACCAAATTACCACATCTTGAGTTAATGCAATTTATAGGTAATAATTTTGCCCTTACGACTGTTCTTCAATTTGAGTAAGCTGACTCTATAGCAGTGTTTATCAATCTTTTCAAATCCATGTTCTCTTTAATAAACAACATTTGACCCACCCTCAATCTCAGGTTCATCCCAAGGTTAGAGGATGAGTATCCACCCACATTTGCATTGAAAATGACAAATATCTAGAAGTTATGTTTCCTATTAAGAAACCCCTATCAAGTGCTACTTTCATACTTAAATATATAAACCAATTTTTATTTTCACTTAGGAACATTTTAACACTAAGGATGATAGGTGTCTGGAATTCACCTGCCTTTGAACGTAACTACATAATAATCTGAGGATGTGTCCCTTGCACTACAGCTATCCTCATTATCTCCTGGAGTCCACTATTCACCCAGCTTCCATAACCCTTCTATCACCCATCATCCAACCCTCCACCGACGCTTTGCTCATTAACACACTTGGCTTATTAAATGACCTTTCAATAGTAAAAATGGGCTATTCAGCATATATGAACTGGGTAAGAATATGTTAGACACTTTCTCTGACCTTCCATGGGGAAATAAGGGCCCCTTTCCCTAATAACCTGGTTGTTTCCTTAATTTACACTGGGACACATCCCTAAATGAGCTTGCTGTGGGGGATTCTGCTGTTGACAGCCAGGAACAAGATATCATCACTCTGTTTCTGGAAACTTGACTATCACTTTGAGTTTGAGTTACTCTTTCATGATAAGAATCCTTCCCAGAGCTGGTCTCCCCAACCCTGTAGACTAGGTCATTTGGGCTGCTGTGTATATACATTCCTGACAATCAGGAAGTGTATATGGCAGAGTCTGGTTTGAGATTCTCTTTCATTATACATAGTAGAGACTGTGTAGGTGAAGCCAATGACTTCCATCCTCCTCCTCTTTTTTTTTTTTTTTGGTTTGTTTTTGTTTTTTTGTTTTTGTTTTTCAAGACAAGGTTTCTCTGTGTTGTTTTGGAGCCTGTCCTGGGTCTCACTCTGTAGACCAGGCTAGCCTCAAACTCACAGAAAATCTGCCTGGCTCTGCTTCCCGAGTGTTGGGATTAAATGCACATGCCACCACCACCTGGCCCATCCCTTTCTTTTATAGGTACTATCATCTACCAAAAACTAAAAGAATCAAGCAACAGGTGAACTGTGAACAGGCCACTATGAGCATGCTTTTTCAAGCTACATCCTTGTCCTGAAAGTCTGCTCTATCTCCAGGGAAAAAGTCCAAGTTGAGAACTAGAAAGGTATGTCTGACATTTTTGTTGTATCTGTTTGACATTTTCTAGATATTTTAAACTGTGGTTAGTGGCAGCCAGAGGAGTGACCGCTGCATAAAATGGGTCTTTAAGGCAGTCCTGCCTTTCCTACCCCGTCCTCTTCTATACACTGTCGTCAGTCCTGCCTTTCCTACCCCGTCCTCTTCTATACACTGTCA